ACCATATGTATGACCATAACCACATCTCTGGTCTTAATGGTTGCTCATAATAGATTACAACATCGCCAATTAACCTCATGTTAACAAAATTTTGTTTCAAACCTCCAGATTACTAATAACAAGGCATGGGGATCTTATAATTACTTACCCGAAGTAACGAATCACAATTTAACACCACCTGGGCTCTCACCTTGTAGGCTAAAACTCAATAGTTACAATACAATTTTGGCAAATTATGCACAGAAATGGTCATACAAGAATTTTCAAATAAGCCTAATAGGCATGACTCCCTACAAGTGCTACAACACAAATTTTAATTTCAAAAAAGGAGAATTTAAACACATAAAATTTTCACCATCAGGACCTCGTCCTTATATAGCATCCACCGCAGCTTGTAGCCCGATTTAAATATTTCATATCATATAAAAATGTGAGGATCTCATCCTCAACTCTGAATCACAAGTATTTTGCACATTGTGCCAACTAAAATTTTCCATTTCCTTTCTTCCTTCTTTCAAATAATTTCGGTTAAACAAAATCACAACATACAATGATCCCTCTTACCGGTANTTTTTTTTTGTAAAGTACAACCTCAAACGGTTTAAGAGAAATTTAGTTGAGAAATCAATTGAGTTAAAAAAAATGTAACAATTGTTGAAATTTGGAGGATTGAACATATATATATATAAAAGTAAAAATAGAACATCAAGAGAATTATAAAGGAAACAAAATCCAATCACCAACAAGAATAAGGGAAACAAAAGCATATTTCACGTTCTTTTCACATCTTGTTGCAGGCGTGCAACCCGATCCCATTTCATGTATCTCGTGGCAGGCGTNACTATCTCCATATAATATCCCAGCAGAAGTATTCACATATGTTGGTTTAAGAATTATGAAGCTCACTCATAAGTGGAGCACAATAGGAGAACTTTCCTCGATAATCAAAACCAAATCAAGTTAAGGAAATTTTGAGTTTATAATAATTCGATATCGTACTTATAACAATACCATCTGGTGTAGCAACCTCAACCATACCATAGAAAACATATCAATGGACTGGGTCTCCACCTCTAGGAGTCTCACCTCCACCTCTAATATCCCGACCCCTACCTATGGTTGGTCATGTAAGTGGAGTAGTAACTGCAATGAGGCACGTAGCCTGAGTGCTTTAACAAAATATGTCTCTCCCAAGTCTAGGATAATTTTTCAAGATGTTCCTAGTATCTCCATTTTCATAACAACCAATCCGCAGTTCGGCTGCTCATACTAGGTCTGTACCGGATAACTTAAAACACCATTGCAAGAAATTTCATGCCATTGGTACATTAAAAGATGACTGCCCCACGCGAGTGTTGTGATTAACTTAAGCACTACGAGTATACTGAATATGTTTTCATGACCCCATTGATACTGAAATGTAGAATTATTAATGACGCGGGAATATCTCAAGTCTCATCATCATCCCATTCAAATCTCAGCTCTTGATCATATACAAGTTTTGGAAAAACCTTTCAATACCACATAAATAAATCTCAGGCCAAAATCGGTATAACACACGACCCTTCAATTTGATCGTAGATAGTGGACTCCCCTCACTTGGCACAAAGCCATTTGTCACAACATCCGATAATCCACAATATTTGACCTTCACAACTCAAATAAATCAACCAGACGTCAAAGTACGTTGAACCCCAACATGATTCATTAGGTGATCTTTTGATACGTCTACATCTTCCGTCGGAACCAGAACTGGTCTAGTAAATACATTATCTTTCCACTACCTCTACTTGTCATCTCCAACACAGCAAAATCAACCCCATCGCTTTCGACTATCTTCACGTTCTGCAATACTTCATAGCAGCGGTCAAGAAAATCCAGCGGGTCCTCAAAAGATGCACCGCTGAAAGTGGTAGCGAAGAGCTTGGTGAGACCTATCCAGCCTCCGCAAAGTCTCCGAAGACGTAATTGATCTATCACTGGTCTGTGACATTATTTGGCTGAAAAAGCAGCACGTGACCTTGCCATTTGTGAAAGGACAAGAGTAGAAGTTTCAATTTAGCAATGAGAGAACAAAATTGCACGACAAAAAAGAATGGGAGTGAAACTTTTCCTAACTCTGTAGCCTCTAGGGGATAAATACAAATGTCTCCGTACCGATCCCTCAGACATTACTAAGTTTGTCTATGAATTGTGATACCTATGTAACCTAGAGCTCTGATACCAACTTGTCACGACCTGAATTTCCCACCCTCGAGAGTCGTGATG